GAGGTGGTTGGATCCAGAAACTAAGGCCATGAGAGTGGAAGCTATGGAGTAGCAGTGTTTACTGATGAGGAAAGTGTTTCTAGATGTTGTCTCTCAAGTTGGATATTGCTTACCTAGTGAGTGTTTTAAACCACACTTGATAGAAGATTCTGGAGGAGAATAGGAGGGAATGTTTCTGAATGAGACACTTACTAAGCCCAGGTGGAGATAGATCTGAGATAGAAGACAGAGCTTTATCTCACATGTTTCTTCTTGCTCAAGGATGGCATGTATAACGTATTTATTGTTATAAATATATTGCAAATGGGAATTCACTTTTTGGATCTAGGTTTGCAGTTCTCTAAAAAGTCAGTCTAATTCTGTCCTATTTTTGTTCGTTCTTTAAATGTTTGAACATGATAATTGTTTAGTTTTGCATAAATCAAGAAAATACAGATTTAAAGCACAAGGGAAGAAAAAGCAATGAAAATCTTTTGTTTTTTAGGTGACCGGAATGAGAAGATGAAAAATCAAATTAAGCAGATGATGGATGTCTCTCGGGTATAATCCTTTTTTAGAGTCCCATAAGTGCCTGTGAATGCTTTCACTGTGTCTCCCTTATATGAATACTTCTCTCTTCTGTAATTTTTAGACACAGACTGCAATATCGGTAGCTGAAGAGGATCTAAAACGATTACAACTTAAGCTAAGAGCCTCCATGTCCACTAAATGTAACCTGGAAGGTAGGTTGCTTCTTGAGAAGAAATTGCTATGTATTGGAACGATGCAAAATTGCATTAGGTAGATAAAGAGTGGTTTCCTGCTTTCATACTTCTCACTCCTCTCAGCACCAAACTCCCAACCAAGTTCCCAAGTTCTTGTGCACACACATAGAGCTCAAATGTTTTACCCTTTACAGACCAGATAAAGAAATTGGAAGATGACCGCAACTCACTGCTATCTGCCAAAGATGGACTGGAAGATGAGTTCAGAACCCTGAGGCTGAAAGGGGAGATTCTGAATGAACTGTATCAGCAGAAGGAGATGGCTTTGCAAAAGTAAGATTTTCATCATTTACTGTTCACTGTCATGTGTCTAAATAAAGGTGTACTAATATAGACAATGTTATCTTTTTTAGGATTACTTATACTTTTTTCCATCTCTAATTAGCACAAATTTGTCTTTCTTCCTATCTGCTTTGTTTCTTATAACCTGCATTTTTCTTTCCTTTCTAACCAGTTGTCAGAAACTGTTGCCTGTAACTCATGTAAGGGGGAGCAGTTGACTGGTACTGGCAGTTACTGCTGTGGAAGTGCTTCTTTTTTGAAGATGTGTCCATGCCTTTTCTGTGGTTCCACGACTTATTTCACTTTCCTTTCTTTGTGGTCAATTATGTTATTTCATTTAAAAAGTCTGAGTGATTTGTATGACATGTGTTTTAGTAGAATAAAAACTTCAAAAAAGGAAATTTTACTTATTAAAGTACATTAAGTTTTGGATTTCACAGAGTCAAATATTCAGACTATATATAATTGTGGCAAAGATGAGGAGTTTTGAATATAGAACTATTTGGTGTATATATTTAGATACTAATCTTCTGAAATACGCATCTCAAATTTTGAGCTAGGTATCTTTTGAAAACCATATTTTTATAATTCATTTCAATTTTTTTCTCCACAAAAACATCTGAATTCTCTAAAAATAGATTGTCTGTGGCAGTTACTATTTGTGTTTGCTCTTATATTTTACTCTATGTTGTATATGGCAGTGTGTGAGAAGACCTCGCTTGCTAAGAAAATTTAACCTTTTAAAATGCTTAGTCTGCTACTGCCGTATGCCATTAAACATTGAAACTATACCATTAACTTTTTCTCTAATTCTTTGCTCACCCAGCAGCCGTTTAGATTTTCCAGATTTTGCTCAGGCCAACTCTAATTGCCTGTCCTGCTTCAGAGAGACATTCCTCATTTCATTACTTTTTAAAAAAAGAGCACGTCTCTGCCTCCAGTAGTAATGTGAATTACTTAATTGGCAACTGTTTTTCTTCATGATCCAGTTAACCCATTTATGTGCCACAACATTCATTCAGTCTCCATGTGTATTTTGTACTCTGCTGTCCACCCCTAAAGTCACTGTGTGTGTTCAGGCTCTTGCCATCTTTTATGCCAGTCCCCTAGCTAATCACCTGTCTATCTTCAGTCTTTCTTATACATCTGCTTCCAAATTCTGATTGTCTCTATAGCTGCTAGAGTGAACTTTCTAAAATACAAGTCTGTCCATGTCATTATGTGCTTGAAGTCTATCAAGTATGCTCCATTCCCTTGAGGGTCAATTCCATACTCCTTAACAGGTACAGAGGCCACTTTCCCCTCAGCTAGCCCTGAGCTGCCTCTCCAGGTGCACTTCCTGTGGTTTCTTCTGTTGCTTCTTGAACTGTAGACACTCAACCGTTCTCCATGCCACTCCAAACTTCTTTGTCTTTATGTATGCTGTTTTTTCTGCAGTAAAAATGTCCTTTATTGTTTCTGCCTGGCAGTCACCTACCTACTCACATGTTCATACTCCTAAAAATCTTTTCTGGAGTCAGTAGCATAAATAAACAGGTAGCTATACAGACTGAGCACTCATTTGCTTCTTAAATGTAATTCCTAAAATATATTTGAGTTTAAATCTACATATTGGTATCTTCTCTTTATTTGATGGCCTGTTCTATGTTCCTTTTTTTGAATTGTTAGAGTACTTTAAATTCTTCTGTTCTTCTCTACTTAAGCTTGGTGGTTACAAGCTGTTCTGCTTGTCTTGTTGTACTTACCTTAAAGGCCACAGTAGGTTTCTTGGACTTATTACAAAGTCTGACATAAGGGAGTTGCCTCTTTCTTCATAGAGGAGTTATCTTTTTTTTTTTTTTTGAAACAGAGTCTCTCTCTGTCGGCAGGCTGGAGTGCAGTGGCACAATCTCGGCTTACTGCAATTTCTGCTTCCTGGGTTCAAGCAATTCTCCTACCTCAAGTAGCTGGGACTACAGGCACCCATCACCATGCCTGACTAATTTTTGTATTTTCAGTAGAGATGTATTTTGTTTCAGTGATGGGGTTTCACCATATTGGCCAGGATGGTCTCAATCTCTTGACCTCATGATCCGCCCACCTCAGCTTCCCAAAGTGCTGGGACTATAGGCGTGAACCACCACACCAGGCACCAGGCTGAGGAGTTACCCCTTTCTGGGCTTTAACTTCCCCCTGACTTAAATGTTATTGTGGTAATGTATTGTAATGCTCTATATAGCTCAAACCACAAAATGTTTTGTGTTTTACAGTGCTATCCTGCTGATACTCAATTTACATACATATTTATAGTTACCATCATACTTTATTCTCCTACATCTTCAGTCTTCCATTTGCTATCACTGTCATTCTATTTGAAGAATATACCTGAATTAAGGTTCAGTGAGTTTATTTTTGTATGAAAGTGTCTTTATTTTGACTCCATTTTAAAAGGATCTTTTTTTTTGAGACAGAGTTTTGCTCTTGTTGCCCAGGCTGGACTGCAACAGTGCGACCTCTGCTCATCGCAACCTCCACCTCCCAGGTTCAAGTGATTATCCTGCCTCAGCCTCCTGAGTAGCTGGGATTACAGGTGTGCACCACCATGCTTAGCTAATTTTTTTTTTTTTTTTTAGTGGAGATGGGGTTTCTCCATGTTGGTCAGACTGGTCTCGAACTCCTGACCTCACCTGCCTTGGGCTCCCAAAGTGCTGAGATTACAGGTGTGAGCCACTGCGCCCAACCTTAAAAGGATCTTTCTACTGGTTATGGAATTTTGATAGTTGTTTAATACCAGCACTTTAAAGGTAACCAATTATCTTCTAGTTTTAAAGTTTCTCTGAGGAATCTATTATCATTCTTATTTTCTCTTTTTCAAATACATCATGCCTTCCCTAGCTGCCTTTAGTCATTTTTCCTTTTGGTTTTTCAGCAATTTTATTGGGAGATGCCTCATGCAGGCTTTTGTCATCACCCCTCCACCTCTACCCTCCTGCTTTTTCTTTTGCATTTATGCTGTTTGAGGTTATAAATATCTCTTGAATTTGGGGCATCTTTTTTCACATATTCCATTTCATTCTCTCTTGTCCTGAGAATCCAGTTAAACATACTAGCATCCCTCATCCTTGCCCAGTGCCCCTACCCTTGCCCAGTGCTCCTACATCCTGAATTTGCTTCATTCTGGATGTTTTCTTCTGACCTATCTTCCAGTGTGCTAAAATCTCACCTCAGTTATCTAATCTGCTGTAATTATTAATTGAGTTCTTTTTGGTTTCACTTACTATTTTTTACCTTTACAGTTTCTGATCCTCTGCTGAAATCCATAATCATGACTTTTACTTCCTTCAATATGTAAGGCACAATTGTTTCAAAATCTATGTGGTAATCCTATTATGTGGAACCCTTATGAGTCTGTTTCTCTTGTCTTTTAGATTGCAATCACATTGTCTTTTCTTATGAAATGCCTGGTTGGTTCTGATGGAGTGGCGAACATTGTTTATGAAAATTGTAGGGGGAATTTGAGGTCCTGGATGATGTTATCATCCTACAGAAAAGATTTGAGATTACCTCTAGCATGTGGTCATCACTTTATTCCAGTTAGCTATTAAGTTCATTGAAAAATGGCTTAGTCTGTTTAAAGAACATTATATTGCCTGTTCAGTACTCCAAGTGTGCAGCTCTTTTCTAGTCTCAACCCAAAGCCTAGGGCTTTTTCTCAGGGGCCTTCTCATTGTCAGCCCTAAACTCACCTCTTGTTTCTCTGAACCCAGGGATCTGTTGAAAGTTGTTCTCAACCTTCGTATATGTCTGGCTTATCTTTAATGTGTGGATGAACCTGGGGGACAATGGCTTAAAATGCCAGACTTACTAATAATACTGTGGTTTTTCCTACTGGATTTTCTTCACTGCCTTATTAGCTTTCTGATGCCTTCAAGCACATTCTTTATATTTTTGTCCATATGTTCTTATTTTCAGTGTTTGCAGACTAACTCATCCATTATTGGAAGCAAAATTCTCTTGAATCTTTAAGACTTGTTTTTTACACATTTCCTTCTAAGCCAGAGTCACAGAGGGATTGTTCTATTCTTATATGAACTTTTTATACATTTAACTGTGAGCTCTTTTAGTGCAGAGGTGGTACTTACCATACCCAAACCTTTATCTTAGCCTCTTAAAAGGTAACTAGTATGTTATAACCACTCACAAAATATATGCTGAAATATTAAATGAGCAGTTATAAAAGAATACATACACTTTTTTCTCTTTGGTGTTAATAATGTTTTTTACTATACCTCCTCTATTTTTGTTTCCAATTTATAGAAAAGTTTCATGTATCTTTTGTATCAGGATTATGAGTAAAGAAGTACAAGGGTAACTACAAGTAGCACTTTTAAACCATTACTTGTTGCTTCCTTTACAATCTGCTTACAGTATGTTGACATCTTGAGCTTGAAATTTATCAGGTTAAAACCAATTTTCAGTACATAGCACCCTGATTACAGGACAGTTTGGATTCTTTTTCTGTTCAACAGACATTGGCAATACTCCGATTTGTCTCTCTGCTTAATCGCGATTCCTTTGAAATAGGTAGGGGAGCTCCATATCTGAAGTGTGAAAATGTTCTGTGGTTAGCTGTACAGTTAGAAGGCATGTTCTAAAACGCCCTTTCATTGGCTGTCTTTAACATGGTACCAGTCTTGGATTGAGAAACAGCCCATAAGAAAATTAATTAGTGGTTTTCCCATGGTTACAAATAAGAGAAGTAATTATCTCCTGTTTTATCCTAATAAGCTTAACTGTGTTAGGTTGATCAGTCCTGGCTTTCTACATTGAAGAAAAGTGAGCATTCATCATTTCAACACAACAGTCTTTCCCATGGGACACATAGTGTTTTTTTTATTACATTTACTTACTAGTAAGGAAAGAGTTATGAGACATTAGAAAATGCAGGTGATGTATCAACAGGCCACAGTTGGATTTTTATCCTAAAAGACAGTTTGAATTCCTTCCTATGACTTTTTATAGTCTGTGCATTTTTAAAAATAAGATAGGAAGTGACATTTTAGTAGAGTATTCCGACAGAATGCCAGGAGGAAAAGAGAAATACTTTCACTGACCACCGGTTTTATCTTAGGAAATTAAGTCAAGAAGAGTATGAGCGACAACAAAGAGAGCAGAGGCTATCAGCTGCTGATGAAAAGGCAGGTTCGGCTGCAGAGGAAGTAAAAACTTACAAGTAAGTTCACCCTCTAAAGACGGTGTCACTGGCTAATGAAACTAGGGGGTTTTTTTTGGCAAAAAAGCATAAATAAATGGTTAGAGGACATGAATACATAAATTCACACAAAAGAAAAACTAAATTTTAAGTTAACAAATGGAAAAACATTAACAAATACCCAGTGCTGGCAAAACTGTAAGGGAACTTGGTTCATGCAAACAGTTCTGGGGGTAGGGGTGGGAGGGGGGCAGTTTGTTGTATGATGTATCAAAAGCCATTAAGGTGATTTTGCAATTTGATAGACCCAGTAGTCCTAACTTTGGGAATTTTTTTATGATATAGTTAAAGGACGAAAAAAGGAAAAAAAAGGTTTATGGTGGAAGATAACAGGGTTATTTGATAAACATATTTAGGAACAGTTAAAGTAGCTCCATTAGGGTACCGTTGTTAGGGTAAGTGTTAACGTAGTCATATTGATTGGGTTTTTATTTGGTTGTGCTTTAACTCATAAAGCCAAGTGTAATTCTTAGGCGGAGAATAGAAGAAATGGAGAATGAATTACAGAAAACAGAGCGATTATTTAAAAACCAGGTAATTATTCTAGTCTCTCATTTAGTGCCCAGAATTCTTTGATAATTAATACAGGTTATTATAATGAATCTGTAAGCATATTTTGTGATGTATTATCTTTTTCAGATAGCTACCCATGAGAAGAAAGCTCATGAAAACTGGGTAAGATTTCTTTTTTCTTTCCTTTATTTGGTGCATAGTCTCCTAGAACTTAATTTGAATGTATTTCTTCAATAGCTCAAAGCTCGTGCTGCAGAAAGAGCTATAGCTGAAGAGAAAATGGAAGCTACAAACTTGAGACACAAGTATGTGATTTTGATGCCTATGTTTTCAGTGTTACCTCTTAAGGAATTGGATTCTGTTTCATATTTAAGTCTTTCTTAAATACTCTTTCTCTATATTCAAGACTATTAGAATTCACGGAAAAGATGACAATCCTGCAAGAAGAACCTGTGATTGTAAAACCAATGCTGGGAAGACGAAATACACAAAACCCTCCCCAGAGAGGTAAGGGAGCAACTTGTAAAGGGCAACAGTCTATTTTGGGTGTAAAATGTATATAAATGACTGTTGTTTCTGTGTATAATGGTTATGATACCCTAAAAATAATTGCAAGAACTTAAGAACAAAAGGCGGTCATAAAATGGTAACAAGACGCTGTCATCTTTAGATCCTCTGAGCCAGAATGGCTCTTTTGGCCCATCCCCTGTGAGTGGTGGAGAATGCTCCCCTCCACTGACAGTGGAGCCACCTGTGAGACTGCTCTCTGCTACTCTCAGTCGAAGAGGTATGCCTAGAAGTGAATTTGGTGAGCATTCACATGTTTCATTGCAATACTGTTTCAGGTGGCTTTTTCCATTTTATTTGAGGATTCTAATGCAAGCAACACTTTAGAATTTGGATCTGTCCAGCATAGAAAAGAAAATTTATTAATTTATCTTGACGGATAAGTATTCAACTGCAAGGTTTGTTGTAGAACAGAAAGCATTTATTATTTCCCTTGAGGCCCTTTTATTGTTTGTTTTTTTTAATTTTTTTTTCTATGAATTGCAAGTCTTTATATTTACATTAAATTTCTTTGGGATTCCTGTTCCAAATACAGCTGACCCTTGAACAACACAGGTTTGATTTGTGCAGGTCTGTTTATATGCAGAGTTTTTCCAAAAAATACCTTGGGAAATTTTTTAGAACTTGCAATAATTTGAAAGACGTGGCAAATGAACCACACAACCTAGAAATATTTTTTAAAATTGTGTATGATAAGAATGCATGAAATATATGTAGATACTAGTCTACTTTATCATATACTATTGTAAAATATACAAAAACCTATTTCAAAAAATTTATCAAAACTTGAACACACAAACACATGTATACATGACACCATTCACAATTGGGAGAAAGTAAACACATGTAAAGACACAGTATTAAATCATAAATGCATAAAGTAAACGTAATATCTCCTGGTTCTTCTGCATTCTTTATGTTTAATGCAATAACATAAACCTTGAATAACACCATGTGACCCAAATGCAATATCACTAGTGATGCTGGAAGTATTCTCAAGAAGCAAAGTCATGATATTACTAGAAAAGTGGAATTGTTTTGATATACACCATAGATTGGAGTGTGAAAAAGCAGTTATCTGTCATTTCTGTCAGATGATTCATCTGGTAAACAGATCCTGTACACTTACAGTATAGACAAATACAATACAGTATTGTACATGCATTTCCTCTTAAAATTTCAGTAACATTTTCTTTAGCTTACTCTTTAACGTAAGAATACAGTATACTATATATATGTATATATATATAGTGTGTATATATATATATAGTATATATATATATTATATATATATAGTGTGTATATATATATATATATATATACAGAATATGTGTTAATCAACTGTTTATGTTATTGGTAAGGCTTCTGGTAAATAGTAGGCTATGTATTAGTAGGTAGGCTTTAGGGAGTCAAAAGTTACCTGTGGGTTTTTGACTCCACAGGGTATCAGCACACCTAATCCCTGCATTGTTCAACAATCAACTGTATTTGCATTAGCAACGTTATAGTTTATGAGGCATACCGGTTTCGACTTCTCATTACTATACGTAGTATGAAATGTGGTTGAGTCTATTTTGAATCCTAAATATGTCTATAATAGTAAGATATGGAAGTCGGATTATATATACACTGAACAATAATCACAATGTAGAATACTGTATATAGAAGTCTGTAGCTTGAAGTGTAGACCAAAACCATTAATGTACAGGATTTATTGTTCTTTCAGTGCAGTGCATATCCTTTTTTTTTTTTTTTTTTTTGAGACGGAGATTCGCTCTTGTTACCCAGGCTGGAGTAAAATGGCGCAGTCTTGGCTTACGCAATCTCCACCTCCTGGGTTCAGGCAATTCTCCTGCCTCAGCCTCCTGAGTAGCTGGGATTACAGGCACATGCCACCATGCCCAGCTAATTTTTTGTATGTTTAGTAGAGACAGGGTTTCACCATTTTGACCAGGATGGTCTCAATCTCTTTACCTTGTGATACAGGCTCCTTAACCCCCCAAAGTGCAGGAATTACAGGCGTGCAACATGGCGCACGGCACAGTATTTATATTTTAATTCTTTAAGTCCGTGAATAAGTTATAAATGATTTGCCTTCATGAGTATTGGGAGACCCGTTTTTAATGTTGCTTTCCAGATAGACTTGAACCCTAACCTGTATACAATTTGTTATTTCTTTTGAAAAATATATACAATTGCTCTGTTATTTCTTTCACAAGGATGTGTGGATGGGTCTCTGTCTCACCCTCAGTGGCCTGCTGAGGCATCTGGAAAAGCCTCTCCTCCTGGTAAGGGAGAAAGAGTGTTTAAAGAGTCTAAAGCCATGCAGGAAGTGGGGAGAGGATTTTTTTTAAACTACTCATAGAGTACACAAGTCAGAGTAGGCCTATGTCAGTTATCTGGTCTTTAACAGATGCAGAATCTGGTACAGCTGGCATGATGAACAACAACTCAAGAGGCTCTTCCCCTACCAGGGTGATGGATGAAGGCAAGGTAAACGTACCCATTTTGAATAGTTATTTCAAGAACACATAGCTATTCCTACAACTCTCTCTTTGCTTCATCTCCTATTTGTGTGTTCTATCGTCACGGTCTCATTTATTTTTCTAAAAAAGCAAACTGTTCTCCAAGAGCATGAAGTCCCCTCAGTTCCCAGCATTACGTCTTCAGCTGAGCATCCAGTAGCAGTAAGTACTTAGAAGTGTGGACTGAACTGGGCAGTAAATTGCCTGGCGATATTGATCTTACTTTTGTCTTGACTTGGGAGTGGTGCTGAAATCTGACTGATTTGTTGGCCTTTTTTCCTCTCTCCTGTTTGGTTAGACATTTATCCTGTGTAGAGCATTTGCTGTAACTGTAATTAACTGAAACGAAAGTGAAAAGTCCCCACTCTTCTGTATTTCAGTGTTTAATGATCTCATGCAATGTAAATTCATTGTAAATTGTATAATTCCTTATTATGTCTTCATTTGGACATGTGCTATATAAGAATATCTGCAATTGTGTATTAGGCAAAACCTCTTGTGAATGATCTGAAATTACAGATTGATAACAGAAAAATGTTTGTTGGAAGTGCAGTGCTGAATAGGGGAAGTTTGTAATTACCCATTGAGCCAGTTCTCAGCAGTGTCCTTAAACAGTATTCACATAAGTGTGTTCTCTAGTAAATTGTTTAGCTGTTAAGTCTGGTAAGTCCTCTGATCATACCTCACCATGCTTCTCTGTATTGAAATCAAAGTACATTTATTTTAATGATTGAGAGTTTCCAAATCACTTCCCCATAGGAAATGATAAGTCGGTGTCTCAGAGTAGGCGGTATTAATTGTGAATGAAGGTAAATAGAGTGTGCCTGTGTAATTTGTGTATATAACATTGTTTCTCTTGGAACATGCTTTCAAGTTCCAGCACATGACTCGAGGAATACACAACTCTTGTGAAATCTTTTTATCCAAGGGCAACTTGGATAAGACCCAAGACCCCTTTGAAGTAGACTTCAAAGGCAGTAGAGACTACTTTATTAGAGAGGAGAAGTAGAGGTGGGAAGGACATGGTCTTGGAGTCAAACCTGGCATTGAATTCCAGCCCAGTTTGTTACATGCTGTCTGACTGTCAGCAAATTATGTAATACTCTCTGTGTCTGTGTTCCTGCATATTTAGAAGAAGATGGTCCTATTAGAGATCTAGAGATAGGAGAATTCGAGTTAACATATGTAAGGCCTGTTGAAGGTACTCGGAATAATTGCTATGACATGGTAGAGAATGGATTTTTCATTCCCTCTCATTCTCTGCATTCTAAATCTGGAAATTATTGTGACAGGAGGGATGTGCAGAGGGAGTGACTGCCTTAGAAATAGTATTAGTCAGGAATGACTTCCCTTTATAACCTCTTTTTTCCCTTCCATGTGCAGATATAAGCAAAAATACGATTATAGCAAAAGTGTTCACTCCGGTGACGTAAATTTAACCTTTCTAAGCTGTCAGTGGGAACAAATGAGAGCGGTAGTTGTCACACTAATTCTGCTCTCTGGACAAGTGCCTAACATGTTCTTCATTGGGTTTTAGTTTTTACTGGTGTTGGTACTTTTGTCTGTCATACCAGAGTATTTCAAAATGTCAATTGCTTCTATTCTGTAGGTTAATAGTACTCCAAAAGGGCCCCCTCCTTTCCCGGGAGCCCCTCTTATGAGCATCCCCATAGGAGGCCCTGTACCACCATCCATTCCATATGGACCACCACCTCAGCTCTATGGACCTTTCGGGCCTCGGCCAATTCCTCCACCCTTTGGTAAGATGATCTGAACAGTAGTGATTAACTTGTAAGGCATGCTTATCTTCTCTCTCTATCCCTGGCTGAAACAACTGCAAATGCAAGGCTTTGCAATGCAGCAATGAAGGTAGCTGAGTACATTGTAACTTCTCCCCCAAGGTTCTTAAGACACAAAGGGTGCTGCATAATGTCCTGTGATTAGATGGACAACAATTGTCTCTAATAGAACAAGGAACGGGGCTATTTATAAAAAGCCAGAAATATTCCGCACGTGTTCTTTTAACATCTCTGGCTGTGTACTAGGTCATCTTTATGTCCTCTGAGCCAGAATGGCTCTTTTGGCCCATCCACTGTGAGTGGTGGAGAATGCTCCCGTCCACTGACAGTGGAGCCAGCTGTGAGACCGCTCTCTGCTACTCTCAGTCGAAGAGATGTGCCTAGAAGTGAATTTGGTGAGCATTCACAGGTTTCCTTGCGATAGTGTTTCAGGTGCCTTTTCTACTTTTATTTGAGGATTCTAATGCAAACAACACTTTAGAATTTGGGTCTGTCCAGCATAGAAAATAAAATTTCTTAATTTGCCTTGGTGGATAAGTATTCAACTGCAAGGTTTGTTGTAGAACAGACAGCATTTATTATTTCCCTTGAGGTCCTTTTATTGTTTCTTTTCCATTTTTTACTATGAATTGTAAGCCTTTACCTTTACTTGAAAGTTCTCTGGGATTCCTCTTCCAAATACAGCTGACCCTTGAACAAAACACTTTGACTTGTGCAGGTCCGTTTACATGCAGAGTTTTTTCAAAAATTACCTTGGGAAATTTTTTGGAACTTTGCAATAATTTCAAAGAACTTGCCTATGAACCACAAGGCCTAGAAATATTAAAAAAAATTAGGTATGTCATGAATGCATAAAATATATATAGATACTAGTCTACTTTATCATATACTGTTGTAAAATATACAAAAATCTGTTTCAAAAAGTTTATGGAAGCTTGCACACACAAACACAGATATACATGACGCCATTCACAATTGGGAGAAAGTAAACACATGTAAAGACACAGTATTGAATCATAGATGCATAAAGGTGGCTATAGTACACACTGTACCACTACAATAATTTCACGACCATTGCCTGTTGCTGTGGCAGTGAGCTCAAGTGTGGCGAGTATCAGCTTTA